GCCAATGGTTTACATATATTTCCATTAATCAAAATATCTAATGAAGATATTACACCAGCAAAACAATATATGGTAACACGTATTAGGCCCCTTTCAGATGAGCGGTCCAATCAGGTCCACCTGTCAGTTTTGCAGCCAGACCAAATCAGACGCTTTATGCAAATCTATGGGCAGCCGGGTTTACACCTGGTTAACCCCTGGCTCCGTTTTTGTCTGCTAAAACAGCCGGGTCATTGATCCAATGTGCCGGACTGGAGGTAATCTGATGTAAACGGACATATGTCCATTTACATCAGATTCCCCATGGACAGACATGGGGTCCAGCACTTGGGGTCCATCGCAAGATGGAGAAATTAACTGTATGGACATGGATGTCACAGTAGTGACATCCACTCCATACCGCTCTGATCAGGAGAGGATCTGTTGATGGATCCTCTCCTGATCGGCCCATGTGAAAGGGGCCTTAGTACCCAATGACCTCCCCGAGCATATTGACTTAGTACAAACTTTCTGCTGGAATGGATAGAGATCATGAAGTTCTTGTGTTGGGGTAGGTAAGCATGTGGCTAGCTGGTGGTGATGTGCTGCAACACAGAAATACAAATGGGCCACAAAGAAATGCATATTTGTGTTTTGTAATACATGTCAATGTGGACAAGTGTGTTTAGGTTTTAACAAAGTAACAAACGTTTGTAGCATACTGACAGTGATCCCTAAACTGCTTACACAATAAGTTTAAATGTATTCTTGTGCTATAGTTGATTGAATATATCTTTATGCATCTAGACAGAAGTGGGCTCTGTGCTTTGCTTGACTTCATATCTGTCTCATTGCATACTGTAGCCACAGTTGCCACCTTGTTTTTGGATGTTTTAGACTATGTAACTAAGCTATAACTTTATGCTTTGTGATTGTAAAACATGCTGAACATGTATTACGCTAAATATAATTATTTGTTAATATATTGTTTTTCATAATTAATTGTATCAACTTAGTATTGGCCCAATCTGAAGTAAAATGCAAGGACAAAGGGCCATTATGCTATACAGGTGAAAAGTGACAGTGGCAGGGTCATATGATTGGCTTCACTTGAATAGTCTATAGACTGCCCCATTTGAATGAATGATGGTTCTTGTTAATTAAACAACACCTGCAGCTATTTACATTAATATACATAGAGTTTCTGCCTACACCCGTCTTGTGTGCCTGAGGAAACCTCAATGGAATACAAATTATATTACCTGATAGGGCAATTGATAGACTGGTTAGTTCAATGGTAGAGTTTCAAGTTGGAACTTTGGGATCTTCGTAACTTATGATCCACAGTCATGAGTTACTGTATTTATTGTTAAATACTAACAATATAAAAGAGCAACATTCTATAGGATAGCAAATTAGGTCTTCAGTTTCATAATATACTTTTATATATTTAGTAATAATTTTAAATACACTGTTATTTAAAAATATGTATTAACGTGTATTTTTACACACACACACACACACTTATATATAATTATGCAACCTGTCCTATTTTGTTTTAAAATAGCGTCTTCTTCCCAGGTAAAAAAAAGGAAAAGGTGATAGCAGACTTTCTGTTATACAGTATCCGTTATTAGAGAGAATGTAACTTTTCAAAGTTTTTAATGGCTGATAGATCTACTTCTGCAAGTCTGCTGTACAACTTAAATGGCCTATTCATAGTGTTTCTTATTTTCACATTTTAAATATGTTTCGGTTACATTTTTTTTTTTTGGTGGGAGTGGATGTCAAATATTAATGAATGGTAACATCACTTGTAACACACATGTAAACTATAACTCATTTTTCAGAAAATATAAGACATTCCCAATTGGCTCTGAATGGTGAAATACAGATTCATGACTAAAGCCCTTATATTTACTCCACACATTTCGACAAAATCTTGTTTAATAACACAAGAAGCAATGTTCAAAGTGCAGGCATATGTAGCAACCAAATTTCCATTGCTCTATCTACTTTAAACAGATTAAACATTAGCTTGTTCCTTGTTACTGCACTCTTTAACCTTGTATTTCCACCTCCTTATCAAATAGTGATATAGTGGGCAGAAAAATAGGCAAAATTCCATAGCATACATTTTTCATGGCACTTTTCTACCTAATTTATTTCTTGGTTTTAAAAGGATGATTTTTCTTTTTTTTCCGAATAGTTCAAAGGTACATGATTGTAATGATGCAGAGATATGAAAAACTGAAAACCAGATCTGTTAATCCCATTTATAGCTCACGAATATAAAAAAATTATTAGTTTGCCTTAGTTAACATTGCTCAACTGTATATTCTCACTAATGCTGGTTTCTCATTTTTAATTATAACAGTTTGTTTCCTTTGCTTCAAAAAACCATGTTATTTAATTGTGGGGTTTTTTTTTTACTTCAAGAAAATCTTTTGTTTTAAGTTTGAAACAATGAAACACTTGATGAAAACAGAATATTCCTTGTGCAAGGTTTGAGAGCTTTCCTATTGTATAAAGATCATTAAAATAGTTTGAACTACTATATAACTAAAGATATAACAAAAGTGAATGGGTCAACAGAGGAAGGTTTTTATAAAGAAATATATCAACCATTTTATCTTTCCAAACAATAATAAAAGATGAGTATTCATCATGTGATTTATTCCTGATAATAGAACATTGTGACTTTCAAATGTAGTAAAGCAAATTCATTGGACGTCCTTGTTCAGTCAAAATTCAGAGAGTAAAAAGCATATTTGTAGCTTGTTATCTAAGAGATAATAACCACAATATTTTTGAGTGCTGGAATAGGCTCTAAATTTGGGGACACAAAACATGCAGCAAACATTGCAAGTTTTGCAGCTGAGGGCCATTTGCCGAAACATTTGTGTCACTTTTCTGAGCACCAGAATGTGGGACACAAAGCAGGATTTTCCCTGAACCAATCATTACAAAAGTTGCAACTAAAGTCCAGCTGTGAAAACATTATGTTTGTCACTTGACAGTAAGTTGCAGTTACAAGAAAATCACTGCCCCTTTCTGCTGTCTGCCTAATGTCCCCTTTCTTTATGTTCCTGGCACTCATTTGGTTTGGTGACAGGTGGTGTGCTGGTTCTGTTGACTCCTTTATACCAGTTTGCTCTGCTATGTGCTGTGGCAGGATTTGCAGAAGAGGTGAAAGAAAAAGAGGGCACATATGCAGAAACTGCGGAAAACTGACTGCTTTGCACCTAGGAGTCACTTAACTACTTTCTCTGTTGCCCTAGCTGTATAATATAGCAACTCTCGTAATGAAAAAGGCTGACATGCCCTGCCCTGATGATATTTTCAACATATTAGATCTTTATTAAAGCAGTGCCTACATGTAAAGGTGATATACAACCGTCCTTAGCGGGACCCCCATGAAGCCAGAAAGGCAATATACTTCCATGATGTCCTCCTGCCCGTCTGCCTTAATTTTCTATTAACTCCTTAGCATACTTAAAAGGTACCCCTTGACGTTTGACCTGTCCCTCAATAATAAGGTAGACTCCGATTGCTGACGTACCTGCTACTGATGGTTCTAGCAATGTTCATGGACACGTTTATTCTTACTTTATGCAGTGTTGACTTGTTTTTTTTTTATATGTTCTGTTAATAGGATGTGAATTGTATGTTTACATTTACATTTGTAACCATGGATTTAGACAAGGATTAGGCATGTTCACCGGATAGGCTATTTCATATATTTCTGAACGATCTGACTTTATGTACCAAACCGGGTGAATAACGTGTGCTTACAACAAGTCGGGATTGTATCCCCCTATACCATTGTTATCATTTTTGCTGTTCATGCCTTGTAAAAAAAAAAAAAAAAAAGGTGATATACATGAAGAAAACCTGAAGAAGAAAATGCATTTTCTATCACTTTTTTTAACAAAAATATGTATAGATGGAATGGCGTACTATGGAAAACGTTAGTACACTCTTTGCATTAAAAGCTGATATTGCCCTGTGTAGCAGAAATTACTTAGGGTAGACAATTTGTATAACAGCCTACTAGTTTCTGACATTGACTAAATAAAATGTTGACCCCTTCTCCATGCAAAATGTCTACAGTTGCAAGCTGTTTCTGGGTTCCCTTGCATTAATTGCTTCTTTCAACCCCTCCCCCCCCCCTACAAAGTTTAAATAGTAATCCAATCAGGGCTTTGACTCATATTTGTGTTTTTATTATGACTAGGTTTTAGTTAAGTTTGTGACAAACATGTGTACTGTTTCTGTGACCAAACAGTTCTATATTTGACTGATCAGTGTTCAGCACACCAAAAGGGCTGAACACTGTACCAAATGCTTGTACTACACATATATATTTATTTTTATAAAATGCACTATGGGTAGAAGGCAAACTGGCGAAGGCTGTGTGATGCTTTGGGCAATGTTCTTCTGGGAAACCTTGGGTCCTGCCATTCATGTAGATGTTACTTTGTCAAATACCACCTACCTAGACATTATTGCTGACCAAGTACACCACTTCATGGAAAACAGTGTTTCCTGATGGCAGTGGCCTCTTTTAGCAGGATAATGTGCCCTCCCACACTTTTGAGGAATACAGCATTTAATTTGAGGTGCTAACTTGGCCTCCAAATTTTCCAGATCTTAGTCTAATTGAGCACATGTGGGATGTGCTGAAAAAACCCAAATACAATCCATGGAGGCCCCACCTTGTAACTTACAGGACTTAAAGGATATCCTACTGACAGATTGGTGCCAGATACTACAGCATACCTTTGGAGGTCTAGCGGAGTCCATGCCTCAATGGATCAGGGCTGTTTTGGTGGCAAATGGGGACCTACTCAATATTAGACAGGTGGTCATAATGTTATGGATGAGCGGTGTATATAGTATATATTGCTCTAAGTTTAAAAATCATGACTTAATTTAATAATCCCCATATACTAACAGCTCACCTTTTGTTTGTAACTATTACTTATTTATGAATGTATTTATTTATTTATTTTAAATAGGTAACTCTACAGGAGTTAGAAAAAAAGCATCCTCATTTGGTAGAACTCGAAACTGCAGCACAAAATCTGAAAAACAAAACAAGCAACCCAGAAGCTCGAGCAGTGGTATCAGATCGCAGTAAGTGCTCCATATTGCTTATAACAGCAAGAAACGTTGAAACCTGTGACAAACAATTGGCTGCTCTGTAATGTCTATGGGTACTTTTTGGATGATTTTATCAGAAAGACCTCAGCACCTGTTGTATTATACACATCCCTAAGCAGGATGCAAGAAGTAACTCCCTAATGTATAGTTAAAGTGTTTAAAATTAGAAATATTACTTTATTACTATTATATTATTACTTTAATATTATTATTACTTTAATATTACTTTATTATACTATTATACTATTTTTATACTATTTAAATGGGACTCCAGCAGAGTGGTTAGGGATTAAAAGTATGTTTGAACAGTTTATTTGTATATCTCTTCCTTTTTCAGTATATCAATTGCTTTTTATATAAACAATGGTATACAACATGCCTAAAGCGTTGTTAAATAGGGCAAATTGTTTTTCTCCTTTGTGCCACTTTTGTATGTGATTGAGCCTGTTAATCCTGGATCTGTAATGCTCTGAGTGGCAGCAACATTCTGAATCCAAGAACAAGAATTCTAAATACATTTACTTTCAGGAATGTCACTAAAACCAGTAGTTTAACTAAATTGGCCACTTTTGCATAATACTCTGCATTTTACACTACCCAAACAAACAGAGTCTTTGTACTCAATCATTTTAATAAAGAGATTACTTATTCACTTAAATTATTTGTTCATTTTGCATTTAATATTTATGTTTACAATATCAACCACTGCTAGAATCAGCTTTATTAAAAGTAGGAACAACCAACTCCAATGGCTAGGGCTAACAATAAACAATATTCCCTTGTTTAATAAATAACCTGTCAACAATGATCCAGAACATTATTATTAGACTTTGTTTAGAACTGGCAAACATTGAGAGGAGTCATTTCCCTTAAGCAATACATTGGGGTTGATTTACTAACCTTATAAACACACCACGAACATGTATACACCTCTGTAGTGTGTTCCCTCCCAGCATGATCTATGGGTGGAATCTAAACACCTTTGTAGTGTGCACACACCCAGCAGGTGTGTTGTGCAAAGCCCTGCATGAATTTGCAAGGTGATGTGTAAATTAGCTCTATGTTGTGTTGCTTGCATTGATGAATGCAGGAATGTAAATGCATGAGCTAACCATTTTTGTCTAAACTGTGAAGCAGCATTATATATGCATCATGTGCATGATTTTTCCATATATGGCATTAGTGGAAATATGCTTTTAGAGACTTTTTGGTTGATAAATACGTTTTGCTGTGTAAAAATCACACGCACCTAGTGTGTGCGTGTGTTTAGGTTAGTAAATCACCCCCATTATGTCAGATTTTTTTAAGCATAGCAGTATTAATGGACATAAGGAGAGAAAACAATACCATTTTAACATTTATAAGGCAGTAACTTGACAAAAATTCACACCTTTCACCGAGCAAATCATACAATGACCACATATGCCAAACTTCATGGCACCACGACGATTGGATTATGTAAATGCAAATAAATGGTTTCACAAACTTTCACACCTACCTTCATGTTCTTGGACCAGCAACATCTGCCTTGAAACAGTCCATGGTGATTGGATTAAGAGGAGTGAATTGCCTGTGAGGTTTAAAATGGGGGTTCCCTCTACGCTGCCAGCTCACAGGCACGCCTGGCAACACCTGACATCATCTTACTTATTGTAATAGTTGTGTGCATTTAGATTTTCCCTTTTTGCCTTTTCCCACTTAAATATATTTCAAAATACATTTTGAATGCTTACGGTGTCTAACATTTTATATGGTGAGTTTAACAATACTTTTAGGACTTTGGATTTGGTACCTGCTTTTATCTGAGGATGCTTTAAATAAATATAACAGCATTTTTATCAGCATCCCATAAACAGTTTCTGCTGTTTGCTCCATGTTTGCAAAATGTAAAGTGCTGCTGTGTGCAGTTAAAACCATCTCCACCATATCTTGCAATAGGTGAAATGACAGCAAAACAGAAGAAATGTCAGTTTTATGGTCATCGGAGTGCTGAGGCTATTAAATGGTGTGCTATAACTGTGTCATTTTTGCAGCTACATCATTAAACTGACAGTTGTTTTAGCAGTCAAATGATAACATAGTAACTCTATTATATTGCCTCTCAAACCTGGAGAATCTATATTTGTTGCACTATATTTGCTCCTTATCGTACAGAATACAGTAAATTTTAAAGTGATGTATTAGAATGTTTCACAGAACGTATGCAACAATGCTTTTGGGGTTATGAAGCTATAAAAATCAACAAAGTTTGGAAAATATCTCAAATGTGCTATTTAAAATGCTTCATAAAACACAATGAAAAGTTCTATTTGATTATAATGAATTAGATCATCTTCAGGCGTACTGGTTTATTTATATCTATACACAGTTAAGAGCATATAGCAAGCAGGTATGCTAAACTGGCTAACCATTTCAATAGATTTAAAATCTTAATGTCTAGAACTGTTCACTCAAAATGTAGTTTTGATCATGAGCTAGTTAATTATATTTGCCTTATAATTGTGGTTTAGCAAAAAAAAGGGAGCTGTGATTGGCTAATGATTGATTTTCATTCTGCCGGCTGTTGCACTTCAAGCTACATTCTTAGAAATTCTTGTTCAGGTGCCTTTATTTTAAAATACAAAAGTGGAATACATATCTGAAACTAAAACACAATATCAGATGACAGATAGATGTTATGAAAAGTTTACCATGGACACATATTTTCCCAATACTCACAACAAGATGCATGCTCAAATCATATTTGCTTGGATAACAGAAATCCCCCAAGCCACTTTTATCTTCAGCTAATAAACAATTGGCCAAAACTCCCCAACTCATTTCCCCTCATGAAACTCTTCAGGGCATATAATTGTCCAATCTGTAGGAAGATCATCTAATCATGTAATGCCTATGGGCATGTTTGGAAAGGCAGAACTCCCCGGTATTTCAGTGAGTGGTAAACATAATTTAAACTACCGTAGCACATTAAGCTTTATTGTATAAACAGACTTGTGCTGGAGTGTACTGAACTACGAGACAAGTGTGAAATATATTGTACAGCTTGAATACATCTGG